AGTATCAAGATAGAAAAACTATCCTTAAAAGAGCCGTCACAATGAAGAGATCAGTTGCACATCTGGTGATTATGTGTCTCATTGTGTCATGTACCAATGGAGAAACCAAAGCTCTTAGAAGCAACTCGGATGAATCCGAAGCTTGGGGATACGCAGAAGTTAGACCCAGTAAGTCCCAATTTCAAGCAAATTAATAAGATGTTTAGTTAATTAGATGTAACTAATGGCTTTTTCTATTTCTAAATCAAAATCGAAAAAAAAAATAGAAGCACACATGTTTTGGTGGCATTATAAAAGTCCATATAGAGTTGAAGATCCTTCCAAGCCATGGCCTATCATCCTCTGGCTCCAAGGTGGACCTGTAAGTATACATTATACGTGTGTGGGTGTATCTACTTTTGTTCTTGTCTCATTCGTCTTTTATACATTTGTTTCTTGTCTTTAGAATTTTTTTTTTTTTTATGGATCATTGATTCAATTATTTTGATTTGATGAAACAGGGAGCTTCAGGGGTTGGGATAGGGAATTTTCAGGAAGTTGGTCCATTAGACACTTTTCTCAAGCCCAGAAACTCAACTTGGTTGAAAAAAGCCGATCTCTTGTTTGTGGTATATTAAATTTTCTCATTTACCAACAATATATTTTGTTTAAAATAGAGATAATTAATTATGGTTGTGTAGTTGCTAATTGATGAGACTTAAAGACTTGTCATATGTTGAGTTTATATTACTGTTTTGTATTGATGGATAAAAAAAAAAAGGATAGTCCAGTTGGGTCAGGGTACAGTTTCGTGGAGGAGAAGGGATTGTATGTGAAAAGTGATGAAGAAGCTGCAAAGGACTTGACCACACTGTTGCGACAACTCTTTAACAAAAACAAGAGATTAAACCAAAGCCCTCTCTTCATTGTTGCTGAATCTTATGGTGGCAAAATCGCGGTTAAGCTCGGTTTGTCGGTTATTGACTCGGTTCAATCCGGCAAATTGGAGCTCCATCTCGGAGGTAAGAGATTTTTTATTCTTTTATGTAGGTAAAATGAATTATCTAGTATTTTTGTTTTTTTTTTTTAACAAAAAAAAAATGAATTATGTAGGTAAAATGAATTATGTAGGTAAAATTAATTATGTAATATATGTTCTGGTTAATGTATATAATTCATTATTGTAGAAGATGAAATT